GCTGCTTTTAGCCTTTAGCTTGTGTTCTGCTTCTTTCAGCATTTAGCTAATTTTATGTTTCTTTTAGCCTTCAGTGTCTGTTCTTTGTTCTGTTAGTCTTTATGCAGCGTTTTGTTTTTTAGCCTTCAGCTAGTGTTCTGCTCCTTTAAAAACCCTGTTTTAGCTCCTTCAGCAGACTTCAGCACAGTCAACTGACACTCAGCATCCCCACGGCTTTCTCAGAAAACGATTTTTCTCCTGACAATAGTTGTATGTGCAGCTGTTTTTAATTGGCAGAAAGATGATATAATTATGTTGATATCTTTATGAGTTTTTTTTTTTTTTCATATTTCCTTCTTCACTGTTTATGTTTTACTGCCTACTTTTCCATTTATGTTTCTGTTTGGGTTGTATCAGATGACAGTGCTCTGGTTGTTTTCTGCAGCAGTCTTGTTCTTTCAGCCTGAAAAAAAAAAAAAAGAGAGAAAAAGAATCAGCCTGACTTTTTGGAAGAACACTGTGGACTCCTCTCTGGATGTACTGGTATGTGCACAACAACCTCTGTTGTATTAGATTTCAGACTGGAATGCCTCAAACTAAAAAGAGAAGACTATCTCTCCTGGAACCTTTCGTGCATGAGCGCCTTTTACATCTTCAATGTGTTGTCAACAGGTATTCGTGTGACAGCCCACTCCAGTCTCCCCCCACCCCGACCTGTAGTGACTCCCGCACAACCCAAACACTTCCAAGTGGGATCTTGTTTGCCCGCGGAAAGCCTCGACTACACTGTGTGCTCTTGGCTACAGGGATTGAGCCAAAAAATCTTGCGTAATGTTTGCCRCCGGCAGGTTTATGTTTGAGGGGCGGAAGGTAAAAAGAGGAGGAGAGAGCCTCCAGTCACAAGACTGCTGACCACTGGCAGCAGGCCTTACATGGCTTTAACTAAGGCTGATAAACAGTTCGTCAGAGCTGCAGAGTGCTGGGATTTACATGCAAGGACAGAAAGCTTCACACACATACTGTAAATAGACGACTTCGTGCCAACTAACGCAACATAAACGACCAGTTTGTGTGATTTCCAAACAGCATAAATGTGAAAAAGCCCACAAACCTCGGGTTGTTTTTAATCATCTAGAAATACTACAGAAGCACGCCACGTGAGAGGGAATGTTTCTCTCTCGGGCAGCAGATGGGTCAACAGAGAAACTGTTTCTGCAACATCAGAGTTCTTGGGTGCCTTTCATTATCACAACCATGACACACTGTCACCACCTTCATCTGAACAACCTCCTCGTYGAGGCTCTAAAGAACGGCTGCGTTTTGCGTCACTGCACACCCCAGAAGGCAGGAGCTGCAGCCGCCTTGTTTACAAACTTTCATATATTTACATTCATCAAATACTGGGAAATGACACCTTTAAGCCAAATTCTGCACCTTGGCTCGATTTTGTATGCGAGAGCGTCACCAATAATATTTCTGCGAATGCTGAGTCAGCACTCACGCTATTGTTTTACTTTGTGTTTTGATTTTTATGCGCTTTTGTTTTTTTTTGTTTTTGTTTTTTTGCAATCCAACTACACTTGTATCTATTATTACATGTTGTTTTAGCCATTCATAAATCTAAAATGTTCAGCTTGTTTAAGAGTCGGATTCTGTGACTTTTGGATTCAGTAACTTTTAGACGTTTCAACATTTATTTACAAAGATTTTCTCCATGACGATCACTTCATTTCTTCAGAAACATTGTTCACTTTGAAATCTGTTTTAGCAAACTTACCCTGCTTTTTTGTCTTCTTTAGATACTTTTAGCTTTTAGCTACCATTCTGCTACTTTTAGCTTTTAGTTGCTGTTTTCTCTTTTAGGTTCACTTTTTGCTATTTTTAGGTTGTAATACTGTTCTCCTACTTTTACCCATCTTTCTGTTACTGTTAAGCTACTGGTCTACTTGTTTTTAGCTTTTAGCTAGCCTTTTGCTACTTTGTGCTTTTAGCTATTATTCTGATACTGTTCGTTTGCGTTTTGATACTTTGAGGTTTTAGTTTATTCTAATTTTATCTCTATCATTCTGCTACTTTTTGTTTTTAGCTACTGTTTTCTTTTTTGTAGCTTTTTGCTAGTGTTTTGCTATTTTTAGGTTTTAGTACTGTTCTCCTACTTTTAGCTATCATTCAGCTGTTACTGTTAGTTTTAAGCTGTTCTACTTTTTTTAGCTTTTAGCTAGCCGTTTGCTTCCTATGGCTTCTAGCTATCATTTTGATACTTTCCATTAGCTGTTTGATATTTTCAGGTTTTAGTATTGTTCTACTTTTAGCTTTTAGCTTTTCTGCTACTTTCAGTTGTTAGGTAGCTATACTGTTCTGCTTTTTTTTAGCTTTTAGCCTTTTGCTAGTTTTGGCTCAGACATTTTGTTTTTTTTCCAACTACTTTTGATTTTAGTATTGTTCTCTTAATTTTAGCTTTAAGCTAGCATTCTGCTTTTAGCTTTTAGCCATTGTTCTGCCTTTTTAATCTTGTTGCTAGCCTTTYTTGTCATTTTACTCTTGGGATAACACTCTTGCTACTTTTTCTATTTTTGGCTTAGATTTTGCTTTTTTAAGTTTTTAGCTATTCTTCAGCTTCTTGTAGTTTTAACAACCCAATTTCAGCTGCTTCAGCATATTTTAGCACTCGTCCATCACTCAGGATTCACACATGGTTTCACATAAAATGCTAGGTTTATTTGTTTTATATCAGCAAACTAAAAATATTTTTGATTCAGCAATTTAACTAAATATTTTTAGCTAATGTAACCAGAAACACTCACTTGTATCTCTGACTGTATCGTTTTTATAAKGCTCATATCAACTAGCTATATCCARTATCCTGTATTAAGTCATCTAMAYTGAGCTTACATGCTGCAATCTCTGAGCAATATTACAYGGGAGGGTATGCAAGGCTGTGCAAAGCAGGCGGGGGTTTCTAGTCATCAGTCAGTAGATAYGCAGCTCTGAAACTAAAATGTATGAGTCAGTGTTTTATTACCTACAGAARAGATTGAGAAATCGGCGACTGTAAACAAARTGGTCTTCCTGTTTGACCTACAGYCGTGTCTTGTTTTGCTCTGCTGCAGAACCCGAGCTCGTGATTCGATCTGTCAATGGATCTGTCACTGTGTAATCTCGCGTTGTTCTCTGCTCAGTTCCCTCCGTCACCACAATGCTAAAAGAACGGAGTGCTGACTGTGCCCACGCGCACGTACTCTGCTTCCTTTCCTCCCCGCACGTACCACTGTGTGCGAGGCCCCTGAAACAAAAACACAGCCCGCTGGTCGCGTACCAATTCGTGCACAGTGTACCCTTTGTTTTAGAAATGTCACTCTAAAATACAATTTAATTTTAAATGACCTCTGTAGTTAACTGRTATATAAAATTTATCAACGTGTATTCTATTTAAAGTCTGTTTGTTGCCTTTTCTTTTGGAGAAAAACTGTATTAATATTGGGCTCAAATAAAACGGAACCTTGCCAAGATTTCCTTTTCTGGAAAGCACGTGATCCCTCTAGTTTGTTGACGCAGCTCAGAGGGAGGAGGAGCCAAAAAAGGTTATAAAAATGCCCACGCTGTAGTTTTCCAGCCACCTTCCACGCACAAAACCATCAGGCCAGCATCYCTGTGACGGCCCTCAGCGTCTGCTGGAGCAGTGGGGCACCGAACAACGACGACGCTAACACTGGAGCTGTAAAATTAACAACGGGAGTAAGTATATTAAACTCGCTGATGTTGGCAGTTATTTTTTTTAAATTTTATTTATTTATGCATGCTTGCTTGTTATTTCTTCAAAATAATGATTTGTGGGGTGTATTTGCTCCGATGAATTTAATAGCGATACATTATGGCAGCGAAGTTGACCCTTAACTTGATTTAAGGGTCAACTCGCGTGTGCGGCTAGGTTAGCTTAGCCTCCTTGTTGCAGCTGCCCTGTTTCATGCACTGCGGACAGCGTGGCTTTCAAACATAAATACTTAACTRTTTGAGGGTACATGAATGTTTATTAGACCAAACGTCCATATAGCACGGCTGTAGCTTTTTAATCGCATTACTTTGGTGATTTTTCAGTGCTTTGTTTAACTGGGGGGCGTTGACGTTGCGGTTGTTGTGTTTTTCACGCAGGGCTCCCGTTTAAAGCGCCGCAGCGAGCCGACCAGCCAGCGACGTGTCATCGCTTGTGTCCCCTCTCGGAAACGACTTTTTTTTTGGGAGTGTTTCAGAGAAGCGCAAACCGACACACCGCAGACCACTGCCGCCGCACATCCTCCAAGAAACGAACAAAAAACCCACCCAACCTCTCAAATCCAAAAGCAAAAGAAAAATGGTGCAAAATAAGATCACCGAAGTCACCGGATTCCACCGCTCTTTCAAGGTGAGTTTAGCTGAACTAAAATGACAAATGATGCATTTTTAGACGTTTGAAATCAGAGCACCTATCAGCATGTCTTCATTTCTCTAAATATAAACACATCTGTTGGTGTCTGCTGTGGGGCTGATGACACGTGTGGCAGCTAATTACTGAAAAACTCAATGTGAGCTCATTAATTGTTCAGTAATCCTGTTTGTTATTATCTGTTTTTTCTTATCTTGTATGGACTTTTAAATTGCACTTTGACTTTATTTTTGCAGCACCTTCTTTTTATCAGTTACAGGTCACTGATTATTAGCTGGTTTTCTGTCTATATACAATAACAAGGATATTTTTTCCTCTTTCAGGGACAAAATCCCTTTGAATCAGAGGATTTCACCAAAAATGGATCCCGTCTCATTGAATCATTTAATTTTGGTTCCTCCCCAAGACATGGTGAGTGTGTTCGTATAAACTATAATGCACTTATCTGCACCACTGTTTTTGTTTGTTTTTTAAAAAGCTATTTTATAATCTAATTAGTTTGTGTTGTCTCGTCAGATATGCCTTCCAGCCAGCCTATTGACATTCCCGATGCCAAGAAGAGAAACAAGAAGAAAAAACGCTGCAGAGCAACGGACAGTTTCTCTGGACGATTCGAAGGTAAGTTTCCATTTCTAATGTTTTTTTTAATAGAAAACCTTGTTGAAACATTTTCACGTGAATTCATATCGACGTCGTTCTGCCACAGACGTCTACAGACTGCAGGAAGAAGTGCTAGGAGAGGGCGCTTACGCCAGAGTACAAGCGTGCATCAGCCTCATCACCAACAAGGAGTACGCTGTCAAAGTAAGACCCCGAGCACGGTGCACGACTGAGATTTTAAAGCTCGTCATTTTTATTGCCGTCTACTTGTTGTAGGTGTTAACAGCTCTCCCAAATTTAGTGCGTGAATAGGCAGGATGTCCGTCTCTGTAGTTAGTGGGTGTCTGCAGGACCTCCATTGTGCTACTGCTGCACTGTTTGTGTGTGTTCTTGTTAACTGCTGCTATTTGATACTTCCTCTGACTGTTTGTAGTTTTTGAGCCTATCAGGGCAGTCTGCGGGATATGCACACCCTCTTTTTTTTTTTAACTCATTGCCTATAGAGGACGCTCTTAGTGAGAACATAATGTTCTGCTAACTGTTCCAAAACAAAACCCACAGAGGAGGAGGGGAAGGGGGTGGGTGACGAGTGAGGGTTGTGACCCAGGGTGTTGACTCTGCTTTGTTCTCAGTCTGCAAAGTTTTTAATTTTTTTTTTTTTTTCTTAATCCCTTCCAAATGTGGTGTGGACATGTGGATACATGTCATGAGTTCTGTGGACCCCTTTTTTTTTCAACAGAGAAAAGAAACTTATAATTGTATGGTTTAACTCTGAATAGTGTTAAAGGCTCCCTCTCTCCTGGAAGAGTGTGGGTGTCACTGGTACGACCCTTTCCTCGGTGTGGTGTTTATCCCAGAGCAGTTTAGTGAGTCTCTTGGGAGGGGTGGTTATTGGAAGTCTTCTGAGACTCGGAGGAGGGTTCAGACTGCTCTTGCCAGATGTCCCGTCTCTCCCCCTCCCCCTCCAGACATGGATGTTTTTGAGTGGGTTGCGCTCCTCGTCTTTCCGTGGCAACAAAAAGCCCCCAGACACACGAGGACAAGCAGACTTCCTGTGCAGTGCGGTTGTCCAAAGGAGCTGACCTTTTTTTTTCTTAAGTTATCTGCTCATATTCCTGGATTTGATGTTTGAATATGTGTTTTAAGTGAGACTTTCTCTGCTGTTTTGTGATTTAAACATCAGGACTGCTTTCCTATTGATTAGTAGTAAAGCTGTGAGCGGACCTTTGGCTGCACATGGGTCTTGTGTATTATTCCCTAGAATCACTCTGCAACATGGGCCTCACTGGGGTTCAATGCCAGCTGTAATCCAGCTTCCAGGAAGAAAAACATGCACGGCCTCCCAGTCGCACAATAACTAACCAGGACTGGAAATTTCAGGCCCTTTGCTTTGGTGTMAGCAGTCTATCCTTGACTCTCTTGGCAGCGTGTTGTGCAGCTGGTGGCCTCTCTGTGGTTCAGTTCCAGGCAGCAGCTATTTTTAAAGCTTTTTCTGTTGCCTTCAACTATTTTGCATTAGCTTGTGGGATGTTAATAGACCACTTCTGCCCCCCTGAGTCATTAGGAGCTAAAATAAGAGTGAAGGATCGAGTAAATTTTCCTGCAAAGATAATGGTTCACAAGCAGGAAAAATACAGCAGCTGCCGTGAAGTAGTGAGTTGTGGGGTGCCAAGTTTAGAAGATGCAACCTAGTTCACTGGAAATGAAACATACCCAGATGCTTGCACCATTTAACTGTTTGCTGGCAGCTTTGTGTAAGACCCTGGTTTAAAGTATCCCTCATATTTTTGTTTCAGATGATTGAAAAAGGACCAGGACACAGCCGCAGCCGTGTTTTCCGTGAAGTTGAGATGCTCTACCAGTGCCAGGGTCACAGGTAATTTGCTGCATTTCAGACAACTGATACTTTTTAAAGGGGCGATATTATGTGCTTTCCAAGCCTATATTTCAATTTTATACTAAAATTAAGTAACTGTCACATTTTTCAGCTTACGAAAGAGCTACGTATTTGAAAAAAATCCCCAAAACAGTTTACTTCTCATCTTGACAGTTTCTAAACGCCTTGAAATAGGTCTCTGTCTCTTTAAGAAAATCTAACTACTTTGGTCACGCCCATTTCAGCACGTAGCGTGCCGGAGTCGCTGGGCTGGTGGGAGGGGGAGGGGCAGGGGTGCTCTGCCATGAGGAAGTTCGGCTTAGACACATCCCAGGGGCGTTTCTGGTACCAAAAGGTGTTTCTGGCCCCCACCTGTCGTTTTGCTCCTCAGCATGGCTGCCTAAAAACTCTCCAGGATTTCTCAAACATGCACGAATGAGTCAAAGCAAGGCTTTGGGCATGTTTTTTATGAGAGTATAACATTATAACATGATATAAAACTCAAAGTTGATTTTACATGATATTGACCCTTTAAGTTAAGTCTTAGTTTATATTGTATGTTCACATCTTTTACGAAACTTTACCTTTTCCCCTCCACGCTTCATGCACTCTGCAGCTCCTGCTTTTACTGATGTATTTTCCCTCCGTTTCGCTGCAGGAACATCCTGGAGTTGGTAGAGTTTTTTGAAGAGGAAGACAAATTCTACCTGGTTTTTGAAAAACTCAGAGGAGGTAAGTGATTTCTAGCTGCTGTCATTTTATGTTTGTAATATTTCAACCTATTTTTCTGTTTTGCTTTAAAACTAACCAAATGCATTTTTGTATCCTCCCAACATCAGGGTCAGTTTTGGAACAAATTCACAAGAGACAGCGCTTCAGTGAGCAGGAAGCCAGTGTTATTGTGCATGACATTGCCAGTGCTCTTGATTTCCTGCACAACAAGGGTAAGACCACTGGTATTTTTAAAACAGTCATCGCTAAAATGTAACAGCAGTAATTACTTTTACCTCAGAGGCTAGGTATTTTTTGACAGAGAAAAGTAATTGTTTTTGTTTTTCTTCACCAGGAATGGCTCATAGAGACCTAAAACCTGAAAACATTCTCTGTGAGAGTTCAGACAGGGTGAGTTAACAGCCCACTTGGTTCAAAGAGCAACTAATATGGGTATAAAACAATAAACTCGATTGGTGGTATCAGCTTTCATCGCAATAAATTAAGAGTTTTTGCCTCTTTTCATTCCCTGACTGGAAATCTGTAATAAAATTAACTTATTTTTTTCAGATTTCCCCTGTCAAGATCTGTGACTTTGACTTGGGAAGTGGAATCAAGCTGAACAGTGACAGCTCACCCATCTCTACTCCCGAACTACTCACTCCTGTAAGTTCAGCTTTGTTTTTATCTTGTCTCTTAGATGAGAACATTTTAAGACCTGTTTTATGTCCTTGCTGTGGATAAGAAGGGTGTTTTTCAGGTTGTAAAAAGCCTTTATTGTATCCAGCTGATTGCCTATTGGGCAAATCTCAGTGGCGTTAGTTGCATGTCCCATGTTGAGAAAGATTTAAGGTTATGATGGTTCATGTTTGTGTAGTTTCTCTAAAATACCATGAATTGTTTCCTGAATGTCCCTAGAGTACAACAGCTCTGTGAAATAAAGGCTTTTTGGAGTCGATGTCCTGTCGCTTATCTGGAGTAAATAGGAGTTCGGAGGTTATGCTTGTCTAACCTTCGTTTTTTTATCGTCCCAAAACAAAGCATCGCCTCTAAACGGCTTCCAAACAAGCGTGCCTCAAAGGGTTTGTTAGGTTGAACTGGCAGCGTTTCCTCGTGTGTCAACAAACTGGTTGTCTGTTGGGCTCAGGAGATGGAGCAGAGCAGGTGAAGGGTGTCGCTTCAGCTTGGAGGAATGTTGTGAGACGGGCGAGGGCTTTCAGCACGTTGAGCAGATCCCAGAACTTAGAGATTGTTTGAAACTTGGGTTTGCATTCAGATTTACGTTAGAGAGAAGGTATAACTTCCAGGGTTATGCTCGTTTCCTTTTTCTGTATGTGGTCTGTAGGAGGAGGAGGGAAGAAAAATAAAACATTCCTCTTTTGACTGTGCCCCCACCCACCAGCTTCACTTGTGCTGGTCTGCGCTTTGTTTTGTTTTTTTTAAATACAATGGCTGCTGTGCGTGAGGCTCATTCTAGAAATGATGGTCTTTCCCTCTACACCTAGCAACTGAGTTGTGATTGGTTAAAGCAGTGGTGGGGGGTGTAGGACAAATGCACAGTCCTGTCTGCTTTCACGCTCTGGCCTGTTTTTCTTCCTTTGATCACTAGAACGGTGTTATCTGATTTTCTTTTTCCCGTTGGCATTGCAGCCTACCTCCCTTATTCCCACGTTTTCTGGTTCCAGTGAAAGTTTCRTTGATCAGAGGCCGTCAGGACTTACATCCTGCGGTTATAAACGGTGTGGCACGACAGCAGGATACACGAGCAGCTTAGTTGATTCAAGGAAATGCTTGTGTGAGTTTTGTCACGAGTGCAGGTGTGCCTGCATGTCCAAACAGGCTCCCTTCCTCTGAGCCTCTTCAGTAATCCTGCAGTGTGCAAACAGCGGAGGTGTGTCATCAGCTATATGGTCTGACTGATCACATGGTCTCTGGAAATACCCCAGCCTGCAATACAGCTGAAATGGCACTGATATTCAGCTTACAGGAAGGTTTGGGGAGGATGTTACTGTAAGTTCAGATTTTTTGCATCAAATACGCAGGAAAAACAAAAACCACTTCCTTTCAGAACGCTTTGATTAGATAAAACATCTTTGTTTTTCGCTTTTCTTTTGGTTTTCAGCAACTGCATCTGTCCAGGAGCTTCCATATTGCAGTATTTTTCAAACAGCCATTATATGACAACATCATAAAACTCCTGAATTTGTTGTCACCTCGTGATTTAACAGTGGTCCACTCTGTCCACCCCTGTGTAAACAGACACCCCCGCCCCCCATCGACGCGTTTGTGTTGGAAAAGAGTGCGAGGGGGGGAGGGGATTTTGTGACAGAAGCAGCTTTGTCTGAGCTGAGATTCCTGTGCAGTGAATTTTATTACATAAGGAAGCAGCAGGCTGGAGGTGGAGTAAAAGAGACAGCTGCTTTATGGTACCGAGGCACAATGGAGGYCTGCTCTGTGTAAACACGCCTAAAGAAGTGGGGCTGGGGGGGTTTATTGTGATGTCCCGTGATAAGCTTTTACAAATGGGGACATTCGGGATATAATAAGTGGAAACTGTTGTAATAATTCAGTTMATGTGAGGAAACAAAGCATGTCCTGCTGACCGAACGACCCGCTTCACTTCAACTCAGTCTAAAACTATTTGGTGTTTGTGTGTGGTTATGTAACGAGCCTGGCTCCACAGACCAGYCAATCCTCTGGCCACTCTTTGGCCTCATTTCTACCAGAGTTCTGTCTGTTATTGCTGTTGTGCAAAGCTTGAAAACAGTGCATTAGCCTTATTATGTTTTTGACCAGGCAACATTTTGTTTTTTGTCTCCGTCAGTGTGGCTCGGCAGAATACATGGCACCTGAAGTAGTGGAGGCCTTCAGCGAAGAGGCTACGATCTACGACAAGCGCTGCGATCTGTGGAGCCTCGGGGTGATCCTCTACATCATGCTGAGTGGTTATCCCCCCTTCGTAGGTCGCTGCGGTGGCRACTGCGGCTGGGAACTGGGAGAGCCATGCCACATCTGTCAGGTAACCATTTGATCTCTTTGTAACACAAATAAAAAAAAAAGCTGAAATGTCTCCCCGACAAAAGTAACCGGTGAATCATTCTTCCGTCTCTAGAACACTTTGTTTGAAAGCATTCAAGAAGGAAAGTACGAGTTTCCTGACAAGGACTGGGCTCACATCTCCTCAAGTGCCAAAGACCTGATATCCAAACTCCTGGTTCGGGACGCCAAAAAGCGCCTGAGTGCCAGCCAGGTGTTGCAGCACCCCTGGGTGCAAGGGGTAGGTTGAGTCATTTCTGACGGTCAAACTGTGTAAAAAGTCTGTTTTAGTGTTTGAGTCCGATTTCTAAAGTTCAACCGTCTCCTTTTCCAGGGTGTATCTGACACTTTACCAACATCCGTCTTACATCAAAGGTGAGAAGTTAGAGCTGTGTCTATGAGCTTTTAAACGCTTTCTTTTTAACTAACGTTGTTTTTTTTTTTCTGTTCTCGTCCGTCAGAACCAGCAGTGCCAGGGATCTGACGTTCTTCGCTGATCAGGCCATGGCTGTGAACCGGCAGCTGGCCGAACAGGACGGCATGGAAGAGCAGCAGCAGCAGGAAGTCCCAGTTGTGGTCCCAGCCCCGGGCTCCTCGGTGCGCCTCTCCCCTCCCTCCGGCTCCAAGCTGGCCCGGCGCCGGCAGCGAAGCAGCCAGCCCAAGGGCGGGCCCGTTTCTGCCACGGAGCTGTGTCAGCTCCTGGCCCCTCTTGTTATTGTGGGAGACTGTGCTTGAACTCGGTCCGCACGGAGTTCTGAACCTCTGTTTAAGATCGACAACCAGATCAAAGACCACCCCTCCACTCCTCCCTGACTCCGGTCGGACTCGGTTCCTTTGCGATTCGGGCGGTGACGCCCATCTGAACCGGGGCCGTTCCTCTAAATGCCTTCTGTCCTTATGCAGCATTTCAGAAGCACATCAGCACAGGGTCTGCGTACACACAATGTTCACACTCGGGTTATGGAAAAGGAGATCAGTTAATGATTTGGGATAAAACTTTTTTTTTTTTTTCCACTTCACGCAACTCAGTTCAGAAGTCAGAACATTGATGTTGAAACTAAGCTCAGACACCAAAGGACAACCTGTTGTGCTGCTCCCACGTTACAACTGGAACCACTGTGAATTAAGTTATGTCGAATGTTCTCTCTGCCTGTATGTATTTGCCTGATCGGGCCATCTGCAGATGCGTACAAGTTTATGCAATATGCCAAGATGAAGGCTGTTTTTTTTTTTTTTTTTTTTTGTCTTGAAAGGATTGAATA